TTAAACAGTTCCCATCGGTATAGTTAAATCGGGTGGTGTCCTGTGGGTGAGCTATGGCTAATGTCCGCTGCGAAATAATTGAGGCTGGGAGGCTGGGAGGCTGATTCATCGACCCCTCATTACAGTTAGCGGATTGTTTGAAACATTCATTCAAAGCTGCTGCAATAGTGCAGATCTGCCATGGAATTACAAAGATGATATTAATTATGAACTGCAGACGCAACTGTAATTCTCTCATGTGAAATGATTACTGCATGAATTTCATCCCCTCTGCGAGATTATGATAACCTTTCAACTCCTGGAAAGATGACCGGCTTATAGCGTCTTGAGGTGAGCAGTTTACTTAAGCCGCCATTAGGACTTTTCGTCTAACCTGGAAGCGCTCAGTCCGTCTTCATTTATCACACAGAGGCAACCAGGGATGCGGAGCCGGAGCCGGAGCCGGAGCCGGAGCCGGAGCCGTGAAACAATATAGCCCGGAGCCGGAGCCGGAGCCGTCAAAAAAGGGGGCGACTCCGGCTCCTTTTCTTAAGAGGAAACAATTATTTACCTAATTCGGTTTGACAGTACAAGGCGTAAAACAATGTGGTATTCAAAATAGCCTTGTTATACAAATACAGAAGCAACGTGTACCAATCCCATCGCCTTTTTTCTTCCACCCGTATTTAATTGATCGCATAGGGGATGTACTGAGTAGAAGCCGGAGTCGGAGCCGCTGGAGCCGGAGCCACCGGAGCCGGATCATTTTACTCGGAGCCGGAGCCGGAGCCGGAGCCGCCATGACATTTCACCCGGAGCCGGAGCCGGAGCCGATTTTTTTTCTCCGGAGCCGGAGCCGGAGCTGGAGCCGTCTGAAATTTCCACGGCTCCGCATCCCTGGAGGCAACTGAAATGCTGTATCCATGGTGGACTGTAGTAAGATAGACACATTTGACAACCTCCCGCGGGACCCACAGAGCGAGTCAGTGGTGCGACTGCGTCCACCCGACCCGGGGGCGCCAGTCCGCACCGTTCACAGCTTCAATCGGACGCGGGAAATCATCGCCCTGCTCCTTTACGACCAGTGGCCGGTTGGCCAGCTCCTGCCCGGCCCGAAGGTGGCCAGTGACTATGACCTCGTAACGCTAGACCGTAAACTTTTATTGACTATCTCCGCCGAAATCGAGCTTTGCGGCGATACCGCCGCGTTTGGCCGGGGGCCGCGTCCAGTCTGGGGAGGAATGTCTCTCCTTTTATTGGTCTCTCCCGTCTTGTCTCCGCGTACCGCATGCCGTCTATAGTATTTTCACTTATCTCTTTTATCTCTTTCTCGTGTCATCTGATTTTCTTATCGGTCACTGTTATGAGCGTTTTATCTTTCTCACGGCTTCTATGTGTCGGACGTGCAGTTTCTCCTAATTAATGACGTTGAATTTTTCTCTCGCGAACAGTGCTGCTCGCATCAGGGCTGTTGTTGCGTTTCTACGGTCTGTAATTGAACCAGCACTCCGGGCCCCGGTCCTGCCAACAAACACAATTATAATTATCATCAACGTCATCTGTGCAGTCATAATTTATGCTCGTCTTTAACAGCGCGGCCTGAGGCATAAAAAAGCAACAATCATGCTATTTTTGTCCCAATTTCCATGCTTATTTACCACGCCAGCATAACTATCTTCCTCGCCGTAGTTGGGTGTCTTATCTCAACCACCAGAAGTTGGATCACGTGAAATTGATTTCGTCACATGCTAGTGATTGCCGTCTGTATTACCACATCCCGTTCCGCAGCTGTGTTCTCCCGCCCGCGCCCTCAGCGTTTCCTCCGTCCGGGATAAATCGTGGTCTCGCGCCGCCACATCCCGTGTCGTCTCGCGTTTTTGCAGAGCTCTCCCGGCGGCGGCGGCGCTGCTTGATTCGCGCGTCGCTGCCGTCGCCGCCAGTGGTCATTAGTGTCCAGTGTGGCCGGCAATTACACCGTGGTGGCCGCGCCGAGCTGCGCGCGCCGGCTGCCAGCCGAGGCAAATTCGGCGCGCGGAGGGCGGGCCGGCATTCCTCGTCCTCACGCCGCGGGAACGCCCCGCGCAACACGCCGGCCGGCTCCCGTCTCGCTCCCCGACGGCTCCCGCCTCGCTCAGCGATCTGGTGGTCAATGATAGGGTCAGTGCGGCAGCTGCAGTTCCACTGTTCAGACCACAGCGCTACGAAACGGTATGCGAGATCCTCTCCGCGGTGGCGCGGATACCTTCACAGGGGTCTGGAGGTCACAGACGCTCCTCTGTGGACGCTGGATGCCCGAATACTCAGCCCGCGCTCATCCTGGCGGTATTCGACCACAGCGTCCGCAAAAATTGAGCCGCAGGGACCGGCGCTAACCATGCCGACCATGAAGGTACGGACCAGGACGTCATAAAACGCACCTCGGCGCCCCGACAGGCTGCGAGAGGCGCCGTGTGTCGCACAGAGCAGATATCCAGAGGGCTGCGCGAGCGTCATAGAGGTGCAGGCCGCCAGCGGTCGATAGATATTGCCAGCCGCCCGGCTTCTGGGGCTCAGCGTAACGCACAGTCAACAGAACCGTTTATTGGAAAGGCTTTCCTGCTGTGAAGCCCGGGATCTGCAGAAGAGTTGGCACGTCTTTCTAATGCTTTATGATTGTTTGGTGAGCGCTGCGTGCGCCATATAAATCGGTCCCAACGACAGATAACATTTTCAACTCACATACCTACCGTCTATCAACATATCCCTGGTTGTTTGTACCTTCAAACCCATTCTTAAAGTTATAGCTCCTACATTAAAAATTATTCGCAGCATTCTCCGGATAAAAGAACAAAATATATATGCTGGATTCATTTCACAGCGCGGGGATTGAGGCCACTATTTGGCAGCTACATCCAGGCGGTGCCATCTGCAGGGTACCCGTAGCACCCATTATGGCGCTCTTCCAGAGTGGAGACCAGGCAGGATGTGTGGCGCAGACAGGTCCTTTACCGCCCCTCACGTCTCTGGTGAGAGTGGAGAGGGACAAAGGCAAATGATGGAGAGAGACAGAGAGAATGGAGAAGAGGTAAAATACGCCGACATGTGGTAGACGGTAGACGGATATAACAAGTGTGAGGACTTCACCTGAGTATGATTTTACATAGATCATATGATGATTTTATGATAGAATGATTTTAGCGTTATGCAGCTTATCTTTCCTGTCTCTCCGCAGGTGAGAAAGACGAAACGCGGTAAGAAAGGTTGCAGGGAACTAAGCGAGACTGGACGGATTTAATAGTCGGGTCGTTATCTCCAGTGTCAGCGTTGGGAAAGGGTGCAAATAGATGGATAGTCGAACTCTCTACCACTTTAGGGTTATGGAGTATCCGACCATTTGACCTCGTCCCCAGACACTGTGGTTATTTCCCGACATAATAGCGTCATTAGGGGCCATTTTCTCTGTGAAAAAGAGTACGACATGTGTTGGGCGGGCTCAGATGACGTGCCCCGAACTATCCCAGTTCTTGTGCCGGAGTTCCGCGGATGCCATGTCTGTGTGTCCGGACCAGGTAATTTGATGGTCGAGGGCGGGTCATTTGTGGCACGGGTGCTACAAATGACCCGCCGGCCGTGCGGGCTATTTGTGCGACCGCCGAGCACGTTAATCCACATATAGAGACGGATGCGCGCGGCGTGAGATTGCTTCTCAGCGGGGAAGGTGGCCAAGTTCTAGCATATGTCTGGTGGCTGTTTTCCGGCAAGCAATTCCCTGCCTCCTGGACGTGGACGGATTTGTTTTACCATTAGGTACCTGAGAAGCAGAGCTCTGCGTAGTGACAACACCCCAGCTAGGGAAATCAAGAGCAAAATTGTTCTCTTTTCTCCTGCAGAAATAGAAAATGGGTATCGCTGTTCCGTACCTAATTGCATTAAATCTTTTTATTTATTAAATCTTATTATTTATTAAATCTTATTACTGTATTAAATCTTATTATTTAGAAAGATGCACATATATTTTTGTGTCCGTTTTCTGCACAAAACATCATACTAAGGCATAACAAACAAACAAACATGCCATATACCTAATTGTCAAGCTGGAATGCCACTGCCATTGCCAATTAGCGCATCTCAATTTCCAATGCATCATTTCGTACCCTCTTTCTTACGACCTTTTTCTTCACTTTGTTCCTAATTCATCCATTCAATCAAGCCTGCTCTCTTCGCGGCTTTCTTGGAGCGTGCATTCGTCATTCGGTCCCTTGAGCCAGATCTGAATTTGTTTTTCGAGTACAGTGACGTCAGTGATGTTTTCCGGCAGTGTCGAATGGAAACATTTGTCGGGCGGATCGCCTCCAGCAGAATTCTGGTTCGCCTTTTCGGAACAGTCTCAAATGCAGACGTTATGAAAAGAATTTCGCCTTTTAACGCACAAATGGGTAGTTCTTATCCTGGGAGTAATCGAATTAAAAAGTTGTGGTGCCCGAGATACCTTGAATAAACATTCCAGAGCTTTGTCATGCGTGTGATCAGATATGTACAAAATGTATGGGAAAAATAGTTCCCCGATGGTAGCTCATAAGCTCAGGCCTCAATCAATGTGGATGAACTTAATAAATTGAAAAAGGAAGGGGAAAACAAAACGTTATTCTCTTCCGGATCGGACCGGCAATGTTTCAGACGGCATTGTTAGAAATGTTGTTAACAGCGACTGGTCTTTGTCCAGCCGTGTTTGACCCTTTTCTATCTGTGTTTCAGTGTGATGCTTGTCGAGCCCTGTTCGACCTATCTCCCCGTGTTTCAGTGTGATGTTTGTGGAGCCCTGTTTGACTCTCCTCTGTGTCTGTGTTTCAGAGTGGTGTTTGTGGATCTGTGTCTGACCCATCTCCCCATGTTTGTGTTTCAGTGTGGTGTTTGGGGAGCCCTGATTGACCCCTCCCTGTGTCTGTGTTTCAGTGAGGTGTTTGTGAATCTTGTCTGACCTCTGTGTCTGTGTTTCAGTGAGGTGTTTGTGAATCTTGTCTGACCTCTGTGTTTGCGTTTCAGCGTGGTGTTTGTGGAACCCGGCCAGAGTGCGGCCAGGGCCGGTCTCCGCTCCGGCGACTACGTGGTCCGAATGGGAACAGAAAATGTCGTCCTCATGGACCAGAGTTCCGGACTCGAGCTGCTGCAGTGAGTGAATGGTCCGGTTCACAGACCCGAGTGATAGGGACCACGGGATAAGGGGAAATCGGGAAATCAAAAGGGCACGGACTAATGAGACGTGTCGACATAATCCCACTCCGTCTCTCGCTTTCTTTTCTATCTCTACCTCTGGCTCTGTTTTCCTATCCATGCGTCTGCCTGTTTCTCTGTCCTCTCTCTCTCTCTCTCTCTCTCTCTCTCTCTCTCTCTCTCCTCTCTCTCTCTCTCTCTCTCTCTCTCTCTCTCTCTCTCTCTCTCTCTCTCTCGTTCTCTCTCTCTCTCTCTTTCTCTTTCTCTCTCTCTCTCTCTCTCTCTCTCTCTCTCTCTCTCTCTCTCTCTCCCTCCCTCCCTCCCTCCCTCTCTCTCTCTCTCTCTCTCTCTCTCTCTCTCTCTCTCTCTCCCCCCTCACGCCCAGGACGGAACACCACTGCCTTGATGATGCGATCAATGCAGCTGCCACGACCTCAGCTGGCAGCAGATTGAGATCGAGTCGCCCCTTCCCCTGCTGGTGTATAGGTCAATAGGTCACTTCCATGTCATGCGTGAACGTGCTTGTGACCGAGGTCAGAAGTACGGGAGCATTTGAGACAGTAGAGCAGGACGTTGATCGTAGGCGGGAGATGAAACGCCTCGATGTGTGTCGGAGTAGCATGGCGATTTTTAAACTAAACTTTCCGCTGTTTCCATGATACGTAACAGAAATACTCGTATTACTGTTCTAGGTATTATTTGTTGATTTTATGTAGATAGGGATAACCAATTACCTACTAGGCAACAATGTTTGGACAATGACGATGGACATGGATAATGACTAATGAGCATGCATAATCCAATGTGCAGAACATTGTCTACATACCCCACATCATTATAGGTCGCAATATGGTATAATGCTCAATCAATGATCATATTTCGACGGATCGGAGACCGAGCATTACAGCATCAGACTGAATCCATACTTGGCCTTCTTGGTCACACCATTTATTGATAAAAATGACCTTTTCCGTGCGGGGAGACGAAGACGTGAGATAACTATCACCTGATCCGGTGGGATTCTGATATAAGCCTGCTAACGACTCCCGGGAACCCAGTCGCCCCTGCCCCGCAGACAAAACACAGCCGGGCTGCGGAGTGACGTCATAATGGCGTCACTGCAGACACGTGTCCGGGGCGCCACTGCAAACACGTGCCTCTGGTGAATTCCGATCGGCGGAAAGTTGGTTTAATTCGATTTCAATTTGGTTTACCGAACTTTCTGTAAAGTGAGATGGATGCTTATTTTGCCTTTGATGCCTAGATATAGGACTAACTGAACACGGTTATTGCACCATCATTCTGTTAGTTTAACTGGATACCTAAAACTCGTCAACTGGATACCTAAAACTTCACTGGGATATTTGAAACTCACCCTGTCCACTCGTTATTGGTAGGGCTGGGCTGCCACCTCATCACGCTGTTAAACACGTCACACCGGCTGCCGTATGCAGCAGTGCTTGACGTTACGATCAAAGGACTGCACGCGCCACAATGAGCCTTTCAGTTCAGGACAGGGAAGCACACGAGCCAGTATAGAGGAGCTCGACGGAGCCGAGTTGGACAGGTGTGACGGTATCACAAATCAGTCCATCCGTCGTAGATGTCAGATCCCATCAGCGCTCCATCAGCTCAGCGGCTGGGACCGGTACCAGCTCAGCGGTCCGGGCGAGCTAAAAGATCAGCCCGTAACGAGCTCAGGAGCCGCCGATCTCGGAGATCTGTGCAGCGGGAGCTCAGTCAGCGGACGCTGCCGGGTCCCTGCGGCTCAGCCTCGGCCGTCGAGCCGGCGCACCGGACCGCGACGGCCCGGCCGCCGGCGTAAATGGGTTTGCATCTGAGGCGCGCACCTTATCTCATTCATCACTCGTCGGAGACAGCGCCCCCCGGGGAGAAAATGTGCGTGCGATCGCGATATAAATAAATTGGTGGGATGTTGAGTGTGAGGCGGTGCTCCGCGCTCCTGCGCAGTCCGGCCACACATTACCGTCTGACAGCTAAGGTGGTCTTCCGTGGCAGCGGCCATACCATGCTGAAAAAAATACCGGCCGTCCCGTTTAAAGGTAGTGTGCCACCTTTGAAAGATTTCCCATTTTATTTTTCCTAGGATAAGAAGCTTCTGTTTTTACCTAATATCGCAAAAAAAATCAAAAATGGGCCTGGAATAGTGCCTTTTTCGCCTAAAAGTTTATCGGTTTTTCTATATGTATAACAACTGTAGTGGGCTGACCTGTAAACAGGCGTCGGCAACAATCGCGAATGCGGCGCACATGTGACAATAAGCAAAGGTCATTATAGAGTTACGACGTACGGGAATGAGTTATCAGCTGTCTAATCGTAGACAACACAATGTCGAGCCTTAAACTGTAAGCCTGTATTGGTATTGTTTCTTTTATTTGGCTGTCGAACATTATTTATGGTTTGAAATATGATTTTATGTAAAATAATTGATATGAAAAAGCCGTCTCTTAAGTTATGACCCCATTTCACCACACGCAAGTGGCAGAAATGACAATGATCAGCTGACGCATTTTTCTTGGCCGAAGTCAGAGCGCGCGGCCCGACGCACCACCGCCGCACCATAAAGTATGAGCAGAAGCCGCGCCCAAAGCCAGGGCCCCGGTAACGTGAGGTAGCCGAGTCGGGGCAGCGTGCGCTGACCCAAGCCGGGGCCGCAGCTTTGGGCGCGGTCTACCGCATCCCCGCGGGCAGCCCCGGGCTATTACATGACACCGGGAGGACGCGCGGCCCCGGCTTGGGTCCATGGGTGAAACTTTGACATCACCATTGGGGTCCCAAACGTCCAAGGGGGCCTCCATTTAGTGGGGGCCTCCAAGCAATTAGGGGCCTCCAATTGCGGAAGCGGTAATTTACGAACCACGCCAGGGCCTCCTCTAAGAAATTTTCACTGGGGGACCGGAGGCTCAGAAGCCAAACCTAGGGTACCCCCAAATCCAGTTTTATCATCGGATTTAGGCCACTTATTTTTCGTCACAGCCCGGATGCCATGATTTTTCAATATTAATAAAGAAATGGTAGTTCACCTGACCCATACTGGTGGATCCAGGCCAGCAGGGTGACATTGTATGTAAATATCCCCCGTGGCGTCCGAAATCGATGAAAATTTCTGGCTTTTTCACTTTCGACGATAAAACAAAATGCCTTTATTATAGAAAAAAGAAGAATTTAATGGCACAGTATTGCGCAAGGAATCTAACCTATACCCCAGAAAGTGTGAGGCTTAATCCTCGCCCGCACCTGGGGGGGGGGGGGGTGGCTACCCCCAAGTTAGTTTTCCTGCTCTACACTGAACATTTTTAAAGCTAGAAACCCGATTTTGGGATAGCTGCTTTTCTATCTTTTCTCAGCGTCACTTTTAAAATTTCAAGTTTCTGTGGCTTTTGGGTTTGGAAATATGACCTTGTTCTTCAGGTCATGTCATTACCTAAATGAGGAATACCCAACATCTTGCGTTCAGTGCTGGCTATGGACCTTGTAAGCTTTTGACACCTTGATTTCCGCTTTTTTTTTGCCAGTCTTACCTCCCACCTATCATTTAACATGTTGTTCTGCGATGTACAGATGTCAGTCAGGGTCAGGGTTAACCCTCACCGGCCGAGGGGGGGGGGCGGGTGCCGCCCCCCCCCATAGGATTTTTTCGCGATAGCTCCGAACACGCTGGCGATAGAGAGCTGAAACTTGGTATACCTGACCTTTGATCCAAGCCGCATCTTTTGACACCAACCGCATTTTTGGGTCAGGTCAGGTCACTGACCTATGACGTCATAAGTGAACCTCTGCACGGTCTTCAGACGTCGCAACTTCGCAACGCCCTCACTGCCAGAGGAGATGTCACAGGGAAATGAAACTTGCAGGATCTAGTATCCATTATGAGTCTCACAACTTGTATATCTCGGATTTTTCCTAAAGGTCATATGAGGTCAGGTCATTTTCGTGACCTCACCATTATAAGTCAATGGGGAAAAATGAAAACTGCTATTCTGGCGCCGGGAACGATCTCCAACTATCTCAAGCACACAGAATCGTGATTTTATGCACTCCTTGGAAGGTTAGATGCGTCACTTTTGCAATTTTGACCTTGCGTGACGTCATTTATGACGTAATCAAGGTCATATTAGTTTTTCGTCAATAACTCCCGATCAAATTCAGCTAGCGAGTCGAGGAAAGCCACCAATGGACTCAGGAAGACCTGCAGAATCGAATGATATGCGACATGACCTCTTTCGACCAACTTCGTGACCTGGGGGTGCTGACCTGACCTTGACCTGAGGTCAACACCCTTAGTTGACCTGACCCGAACAAAAAGTATATCATTCGACGCGCCTGAGCAAGGCGAACACGATGCTGCCAAAATCGTGGCTCTGCGGCCGTTTTTTCGAAGTTATTCACCAAAAACTGAACCGTACCCTGGGGCACTTGACCTGACCTCAGAGGTCACCGGTTGACCTAGGACCTTAAAATCGGGTACCAATCTCTGCGTCTTGTAACGGCGCACACGCTCGTTTTTTCGCGACGCGCTAGCTCCACCAGGGGCGAAACGGCGAGGGGGGTCGTACCCGCCCCCCCCCCTCGGCCGGCGCGTATGTAGAAAACCAATAGGTCCGGCGAGGGTTAAGGTCAACCTAGGTCATCTAAAATTATTTTCGTGAAGTTTCTTTGACTGCATGTTTAGTAAAAGCTTCTCAGTTCATGATCTCATGTAATAAGGACACACAACCCAATCTGTGCACACATCAGTACATACACAGACATACACAGACATACAAACACATATCATTGACCTTGACCTAACTTGACGTGAAATGACCACAGCCAGCAAATTAGTCGGATAGTGTGACAAAGAGCTGTTCTAGCTGGCTTGGCACCAATACGGCAGCGTCATCGGTATATGATGGGTTGGCCCGCTGCTTGTGTAGGTACTATTTTATTCGACATCA